CGCACGCATCCTTTGAAAAACTGTCTCAAGACGCAGGAGATGTTCCTCGAACGTGCGGCTGAAGACAATTATATCGTCCAGATATATGAGGCACGTTTCCCACTGCAGTCCGGTCAATACCAGTTCCATGAGCCGCTGAAACGTGGCCGGAGCCGCGTTCAGGCCCATCGGCAACCGATTAAATTCAAAGAGGCCTTGCGGCGTGCGGAATGCCGTTTTGGGTTTCGACTCATCATCGAGGGGAAGCTGCCAAAAGCCCGAGGATAGGTCGAGGGTGGAAAAGAATTTAGCACCCGATAAAGCATCCAAAGAGTCATCCATCCTCGGTAAGGGGTACGCGTCCGCTACCGAGATTTTGTTCAGCCGGCGGAAATCAACACAAAACCTCGTACCACCATCCTTTTTCTTAACCAGAACGACGGGCGCGCCCCACGGACTATTGGATGGTGAGATAATATCCGCCGCCAGCAATTCATCTACAGCGCCACGCACGTGTTCCCTTTCCGCCGGGCTCAAGCGGTGAGGGTGCATACAGACAGGCGGCGACGCACCCGTTTCAATATGGTGCGACAAAAGCGATGTGCGTCCGAGGTCCAAATCACTTTTGCTGAACACATCAGTGTACTGCAGCAACAGCGAACGCAATGCGTTCCTATGTTCATTTGACAAGGAAGAATTCTCTCCGCATAAATCGGCGATCCAGCGTTCTTGTGAACGATCATGCGGAGGCCCAACCGCGGCCATCCGAGCGCGCGGCGGTTTTTCACAAGAGGCGAAATCGGTAGTGGCGTGAGCCAGCACCGATCCCTCCGGGACAACAACTCGATCAGGTCCCCCATTCAAGACCTGTATGAAAGGTGCCTGACCCGGGCGCACAATCGTTTGTGCCGCCGCCAAAGAAAAGATTTCGACACGGAATTCGACGGGGATAATAGCACACCTTTCGCATCCCTTCCCACTTGGAGTGGTTTTCGGTAACGTAGCGGGATAAGCATTTGTGCTCCCGATGGAACCTCCACCGTAGCTGCAACTACAGCAGTAACCGCGTTACCTGTAGGCGCTTTGGCCAGCAGGGAAGGCAGGAATGCCATCCTACGACCCCCCGGCATTTCCAAACAGTCCTGGTCGACCCGTATCCGCAACGGCATCCGACGCAGAAAATCAGTACCCAACAAGCATGGAACAGCTAGCGAGCGAGAAATTAACACTGGTCCTGCGGCGGTAATATTTCCGATAGTGATGCTCACATCCACCTGTCCGCAGATACCCATGTTCCCCCCATTGGCGGCCACACAAGCATCATTAACTTTGCGTATCTTCGACGCAGGAATGGACAACAAATGAAAAATGACATCCAAAACGATGGTAGCCGATGCGCCAGTGTCCACCAAAATACGGACGTCGACGCCGTCGATGGTACCACGTACCGTCGACGAGCCCGACGCCGCGGCCACCACCCTGCGAGCCAATTTCTTCCACTGAGTAGCAGAGCGTGTCAATGGAGCAGGAGAAGTAAAATTACCCTGAGGAGTGTAAGAATGAGTGCGAGTGGATGAGTGATGTGACACGACCTGCCGGGTGTCCGATTTGTGCCGACTCGCCCGAGGTTGTTGCAGCTCCGCGACAGGTAGAGGAGATAGAGGTCCCCTCGGCGGAGCAGGCGACAGCAGAGGTCGGCAGCGGCAGTCACGGGCGAAGTGGCCCCGTCTGCCGCACTTGAAACACGCGGCCGACGTCGGCCGGCGGTCGGACGACCCGGCCCTCGCTCGCGGTCGGCCCGTGTAGTCGCCCCGTTGGTCGCGCAGCCACCGGCCCGGAACTCTATGCGGGACAGCAGCAGCCAGCATGTCGTCGTCGCCCGAGTCGTCGGAGCAGTGGACCACCAGTCGCGGAGACCACCCCAGAGGCGGCCCGTCGATCTCAGGTTTCCCCGTCCACGCCGCCATCTGGTCCCACCGCTTGATATTAAACTTAGCGTCCAGGCAGCGCGCCACCCACCGCGACGAAAGCGGTTCGTGGCCGCACACCGGTAGAGAGATGCTGAGCTCCTGAGACAACTCCAGCATGCGGGAAAGGATGAGAGGATCCAAATGCTCGGCCGTCGCGTCGGGGTAGGCGGCCATGGCCATAGCCATCAATGCCCCCCGATAGGCCAACGGCGATTCCTCCGGTGCCCGGCGACGCGACATGAATTTTCTGGTGGCCGATGTCGGCGGGTCGTAAAATTCCGCCATTTCAGTGAACGCGTCCCGCAGTGTCTTCTTCTTGGACGCCGGGATGGAGCGGAAGACTCCTAGAGACACATCATCGAGCAGCGTAGGCAGCGCTCCCAGCGCTTCTTCCTCCGTCCAGTTGACAGATCTGAAAGCTGACTCGAAACGCCACGTGAAAGCACTCCAATCGCCCCCGGCGATAAATTCTTTCATTTGCGGAAGGCGATGCCCGCGATGGCAGGCACGTGCCGCGGGCGTCTCCGGCCCTCGTTCCCGCTCTCCGCTCGGTGCAGACAAAATGGCGTCCGGCGGCCGCGTGGTGGCAGGCGCGCCCAAAATGGCGGCCGGCGACTCCGGCGCAGCCGCCTCTCCCAAGACGACGCCGTCCATCCGTGTGGCAGGAGCAATGGCGGGTCCTGCTTCCATAGCAGGACCCTTTCCCGCGGCGTCTAACTGATCAGCGATCTGGCGACCCACGGCTGGTGAGGATGCCACCGCGGTCACCAGGCTGAGCAGAATCGCGCGCAACGACTCAATCTGCTCCGCCATCAGCCGCCATTCGTCTCTCAGTCCTGCGGTGGTCGCGTCCTCTCCCGGTCGACGCTGAGAGGCGTCGAGGCGGGCGCCGTCAGCCGGCGGCACCAGGGCTGTAGCTCCCAATAGCTCATCTTCATCCGTCTCGACCTCTTCCTCCGACAGAGGCACGGGCAGGTTCTTTTTTCTGAGGTGCTTAGACATCTTGACGATCGTCCAAACAGTCGCAGAATGACTTCTGACACCAATGTAATAATCTTCCAGGAGACGGCTTCGGAATCAGTCCTTTTATTTCCACTCCACCATACACTTCTCCCACTCACTCTCCGTTGCTGGCAGACAACGGAGAGAGAGGACAGACTCCACACGAAGTTCCCTTCGCGCACGTGGCAACCCGAGGCTCCGTCCGCACGTGACCCTGCTTCTGTTATTTTCAGTCTGCCCCCGATCGTTCCCTCTCGCTCGCTCTTAAGACCCTCGTCACGTGGTTCCCCCAGCCAATCATGTATGGACAGCTCTCACCATTCTCGATGGTTCCCTGTCAATCCCGGGACCACGCCCCTCATCCGGCTCCCCATTCGCTGGGGCCCGAATGGCTAGGCCAATCACTTCCGATGACCTGTCGTGATGACGCATGGGCCATGGTCCCAATCTCAACCCTTATTGGCTACGAGCAGGACCGGCAAGCCAATCCCCACGTGAACCCTCTATGGCTGTTATTACATAAGCATTAACCAGCAAGGGAGACGTGCGTTTACTGTCTCGTTGATACAGTAAATATGCAGCAGCTAGTAAGTTACGGTACATCCGATAAGGTGCTTAGCATTCGTTCAAAACTTACCTTTCTTTGTGCAACTTCAGGTGTCGAACAAAGTTAGACGTTGTGGCAGCACCGTCTGTAATCTTCGACCCGCATGTTTTGCAAATTGCAACTCGTTTTTTGTCGACTACATCGTAATTTTTATAGCCAAACGAAACTATCTTCGGTATCATTTTGCCAACTGGCGCGTTGTTGCTTGTTGCGCTTCATTGGTTGTCTTGCAATGTGCCTGCTTAGATGCTGTCCAATCAAAACAACGTGGGACTACAGTGATTGGATGTCGTGCAGGCAGCGCGCGTGCTCTCTGCATGCATACAGGTGGTGCACATTTTTTTCACAAATGCAGATAAACTGAGAGCGGCGCGGCCGTGTGAACATTTTTTCCCCCAGTTTTCATGGGAAGTAGCAAGTCTTCTCGAGTCAAAAGGCGCAAGTCCAAGTGAAGTCACGAGTCATTGATGTTAAAGTCCAAGTCGAGTTGCAAGTCTTTGTACATTTTGTCGAGTCGAGTCTGAAGTCATCAAATTCATGACTCGAGTCTGACTCGAGTCCAAGTCACATGACTCGAGTCCACACCTCTGGCTCACTCACTCCACATCGAACAGCCCCCCTAATTAATAATCATAAGGTGACGTCCTCCAAATGGACACCTCCCCCCATTCATAATAATTAGCGGCTGACGTCACTCCACATGGGGGGCCGAGGTGCCTCCTCCCCCCTCCTCAGCGTTAACTTACAAACCTCACTACAAAGGCAAAACCCTCAAGTCAAGCAATCTCCGTAATGCTATTGAGACATCAAAGTAAAAAGGACGTCATGATGAACAAGGGATTATAACCTTAAAATGAAATAGGTCTGTGTCACTGCGCCCTTACAAATTGCACACGCATTAATGCAATGAATATCACGTCGCGGTCTGCTTTTTGCTTGCAAGTTTCAGATTAACTGCAATACACCCGTCCTTGGACGGGCTAAAGGCTAGTTGTAAATAATTGAGCAGTTTTACATACAGTGAGGGAAAAAAGTATTTGATCCCCTGCTGATTTTGTACGTTTGCCCACTGACAAAGAAATGATCAGTCTATAATTTTATGGTAGGTTTATTTGAACAGTGAGAGACAGAATAACAACAACAAAATCCAGAAAAAACGCATGTCAAAAATTTTATAAATTGATTTGCATTTCAACGAGAGAAATAAGTATTTGACCCCTCTGAAAAACATGACTTAGTACTTGGTGGCAAAACCCTTGTTGGCAATCACAGAGGTCAGACGTTTCTTGTAGTTGACCACCAGGTTTGCACACATCTCAGGAGGGATTTTGTCCCACTCCTCTTTGCAGATCTTCTCCAAGTCATTAAGGTTTCGAGGCTGACGTTTGGCAACTCGAACCTTCAGCTCCCTCCACAGATTTTCTATTGGATTAAGGTCTGGAGACTGACTAGGCCACTCCAGGACCTGAATGTGCTTCTTCTTGAGCCACTCCTTTGTTACCTTGGCCGTGTGTTTTGGGTCATTGTCATGCTGGAATACCCATCCACGACCCATTTTCAATGCCCTGGCTGAGGGAAGGAGGTTTTCACCCAAGATTTGACGGTACATGGCCCCGTCCATCGTCCCTTTGATGCGGTGAAGTTGTCCTGTCCCCTTAGCAGAAAAACACCCCCAAAGCATAATGTTTCCACCTCCATGTTTGACGGTGGGGATGGTGTTCTTGGGGTCATAGGCAGCATTCCTCCTCCTCCAAACACAGGAGTTGAGTTGATGCCAAAGAGCTCCATTTTGGTCTCATCTGACCACAACACTTTCACCCAGTTGTCCTCTGAATCATTGACAAACTTCAGACGGGCATGTATATGTGCTTTCTTGAGCAGAGGGATCTTGCGGGCGCTGCAGGATTTCAGTCCTTTACGGCGTACTGTGTTACCAACTGTTTTCTTGGTGTCTATGGTCCCAGTTGCCTTGAGATAATTGACAAGATTCTCCCGTGTATTTCTGGGCGGATTCCTCACCGTTCTCATGATCATTGCAACTCCACGAGGTGAGATTTGCATGGAGCCCCAGGCCGAGGGAGATTGACAGTTCTTTTGTGTTTCTTACATTTGCGAATAATCGCACCAACTGTTGTCACCTTCTCACCAAGCTGCTTGGCGATGGACTTGTAGCCCATTCCAGCCTTGTGTAGGTCTACAATCTTGTCCCTGACATTCTTGGAGAGCTCTTTGGTCTTGGCCATGGTGGAGAGTTTGGAATCTGATTGATTGATTGCTTCTGTGAACAGGTGTCTTTTATACAGGTAACAAGCTCAGATTAGGAGCACTCCCTTTAAGAGTGTGCTCCTAATCTCAGCTTGTTACCTATATAAAAGACACCTGGGATCCAGAAATCTTTCTGATTGAGAGGGGGTCAAATACTTATTTCCCTCATTGAAATGCAAATCAATTTATAAAATTTTTGACATGCGTTTTTTCTGGATTTTGTTGTTGTTATTCTGTCTCTCACTGTTCAAATAAACCTACCATTAAAATTATAGACTGATCATTTCTTTGTCAGTGGGCAAACATACAAAATCAGCAGGGGATCAAATACTTTGTTCCCTCACTGTATATAAATTGCATTGGCATATGTGGTCATTGACACGGTAAAACTAGTCAAGATGGTGTGGTGGTGTTGCAGTGTCAAGAAAAGTGCTTCATGGTGTCTTAAACTCTCTTCTCATTTGACAGCAATTGGAGAGTACAGCCATGTCTTTAGCTGCATGCAGTGAGGCATGGGGCGTCTGCGAGAATGCCGGCAATTCACGGAGCAAGACCAGAGGTCGAGCCATGCTGCCCACGTCTAGAGAGGTATTTGTGTGCTTGAATAATAATAGTGAAAATTATTGTACAGGCAGACCTTGCTTAGCGCTCAAAATGTGTATGCTGGAGAAGTGGCCACTAATCAAATCGGCGCATAAAGGAGTTCATTAGACAATTGTATATATGGGGATGCATTCCCAACAGCTTTAATTCTTACATGTGTAATGCGAGCGTAGGCTGGGGCTTCGCCGCCCCAGCCCCTAACCCATCCAGGCGACACGAGCCATCGGGGGAAGGGTTCAAGGGTGGAGCCCGCGGGCGCTAGGGGGTGGTATTATCTGGAAAGTTCTCAAGGGGTGTGGTGAAGGGCAGAGTCTGGGTGACGCGGGAAGGGGATATAATGGAGAGCCGGAAGGGGCTCGAGGTCAGTTGGTGAGAGCTGGAAGCTGGACCACGTCGCGGGTCTCCGTGAGCCATCGGCCACGTGGCGACGCGGAGACGGCTCCCAGCGCGCCGTCTGCCAGCGGTGCGCGGGAGCGGGGAAGCGGGACGCCAGCTCACGCGACGCGCCGCGGAACGTCCGAGAGAGCGGAACGCGAGCTGTCCATATAACGAAGAAATAAACAGACGGAGACACAGTCGCTTCTTTTTTGGTTCTTTCGGTAAAGTCACGTAGAAGGGAAATAATAAAATAATAAAAATAAAACATAATAAAATACAATTTTCACGACGTTTTGGCCACAACGCAAGCAGCCGTCCTCAGGTGAAGAACAGGTCTGTCGGGGAGACAGCGTCTGAATGAACACAGTCGCTTGTCGTCGACCTGTATTATTGCACATGTATGAGCAATATATGAGGGCTTCATTGAGGTATTGGTAACAGCACTAATAATACAGATGCTAAAACTTCTTTTGAATAAGTAATATTTTAAAATACTTTTTTTTAAACACGCTTTAATGAAATGTACCGTATGAGTAATGGCAGAACTCCACAACTCCAGGAAGTGGCCCCGAGGCTTGCCATAATGTAAGGGACCGTGGTCAATTACAGCCTACGTAAGTTGAGCGTTGACAATTAGACCCAAGCCGAAACATAACATATAAAAAAGATTGTTTCAAAATATATATTTTATTTTTTTTGATAGAATATAGTATTGTCATTGATACGGCTATTTTAATACACACAATGGACTGGAAGGACAAGATTAAAGGGCTCGTATAATGCACATGCATAATGTGCGTTGACTCATTAATCGCCCCCCCTCCACTTTACGCAAGAGCGTGAAGTGTGGTCACCACATCTACGCCTCTATATAAGGAACAAAACAGGTGGACTTCTCCACAAATCTGTCTGTCGCCTGATGAAGCTAGTTGTAATACTGGCAAAACATCGTACTCAGATTGTAAATGTTGTGGCTTGGCTCTCCAACACACCAGTGTGCTGTACTAGTGACAAATTGGCATGTTCTGTTTACATTACAACCCTTACTAGTTGGCTGTGTCGGGTGGTGGTGGATTTTAACGACACATATATTTACACGATCTAACAAAACAAACCTCTTATGGATGATATTCGTCGTGAAAGCCTACATGTTAAACGGGATATTCGATGTCCCCTGTGAAGCCGATGGCGTTTATTTTACGGCTCGTACATCTTAGTATTAACCAGGACGGCCTGTCGGAATAGAACCGCAAACCTCTGCAACAAGTGGCAAATGCACTACCGCTGAGCCACGTCAATTATTTTATTCATAAACTTAGGTTTCCACGGCCAGCGTTATGATGCATAGTTGATTTGTGGGCTTAATTGAGGAGTGTGTATGTTCTCCACCTGCTGTACATGGACGACTCGTAGACTGAACTCTTAGTAAGGGCTTGCGCCAGTTTATTAACACAGAGGTAACACAACACACCAGAGGTAGGTGTCCCTACACTCAGTCCTTGACGCGGACGTCAGGCTCTATCTATTCCTAGCCTGGGCTATCTCTTGGCCTCTCACTCGAGTTGGGATGGGGGCTTATCCAACACCACCCGACCGAGGAGAGCAGCACCCCACGTAATCTTAACCGGCTCTTGCAGACTTCTCTGAGCCCTACCCCTGGCTGTATCTTCGGCTCTCCTACTCGTAGAACCCGGACGGGGGGTCAGCCAACACCGTCCGGTCACGAGCAGGAGAGACCTTAAGACGCTCACCATCCCGGGCTCCCACAACGACCCCGCTTTCGCCACGGGGTCCCCCTTAAGTATTTCCCGTGACATGACGTCATTGCGCCTCACAGCGCTCATGATGTCATGTCGTCATACTACTCTACACATGTGTAGTGAGTGACATTGGGGATGTAACTGTATGGTGCCAGACAGCATCGTGTGTGTTGCAGAGTGATGCCGGCTCTAGCAGAGCACGGCGTGCGATGCACTGTGTTGCCTCTGAAGAAGAACTTCTGCAACTCAGTTGGACTCACTACACATGTATTTCCTCCCATAAAATAAAAAACCCCTTCCAATTGAACATGTATTGCTCATCTATCCCAATGCTGGAAATTACTTGCAAAATTACTGAATTCGGATGACACATGTAATCATCATCCCCTCCTGCTGCCAAAAAAATGGCATGACCCTCGTTAAAAATATTCTTGAGACTTAGGATTTTCTGGGTCAGGAAGTGTAACAATAATAAAAATGTCCTTGTCCCTAACTCTTGTTTCTGTCCTCCTGACAGGTGGAGGTGAATGTGAGTGTGCGCCACATGTACCTGTACAGCCGCGAGGTGCGTGGGGTGGTGGCACGTCTCCGCGCCGAGTGTGGGTCACTGTCCGTGCACGCAGTTGCCTTGGCCCACACTCAAGGTGATCTGAACAAGGCCTTGGGACACGTTCGTAATGAGAAACAGGCAAATGTGCAAGCTTCTAGCATGCGATCGCGACGACCTACACGTGAGGTGGTAAGTCTTGAATAATAATAATTTAGTTGACAGTAATACCCCGGTTTATGTCGGGGATGCTTTTCTTAAATGTGCGACAACGAATACCGAAACGACGTAAATCAACGCAATTTTGCCACGAGGACTAAACAATGCTGAAGCCGTGTTAATGCGTGCATCTTCATCCTAGACGTATCCGCAACATTACATTCAATTACTAAAAATACTACACTCAATACTAGTTTCGGCAGTAAACGTTAAAACATTATTAGCAGTACATTAAAATATCATGCGTAATTACTATATTGTACTCCATAGTACAGAACATTTCTTTATGCGCGATGCAAAGTAGTTTGTGTACAGGGTTAGGTGGAGGTGAAGGTTGAGAGGCGACAGTTACGAGAAAGGGCAGACGATGCTGTCAGCGACATGAGTGTGGGTTGAGGCAATGCTAGTCGGGTAGCGGTGGTGTTGATAATGAAGTGACAACGTATTTTCTAAACGATATAAAAGGGGGAGGTGTAAAATCGCAAGGCTTACAGCGCAAGGCTATCACGAAGGCGCAGTACAGCACATACAGTAGTCTGCAGTAGCTACATGTTGTGATGTTGCTTTGTGGAATGCCAATTGAGGAATTTGTCGGTCATTTGTGAATTTGGAAAATTTGAACCGTGACAGCAACACACATTGGCCTACTCTTATCAAACTAGCTTCTTTGCCCATCCTAGGACGGAAGCTGTAATATTTACGAAAAAAATTAGCAGAGTATAATTGTATTTTGTGTTAATTGAATGGCAGTGAATCTTGCACGAAATTATGTCATAAAACACTTCACTGCATTTCACTGTAGCACTGTATATAGCTGACCTTCAATTTGTTCTAATTCACTGCTCTGATACTTTATTATTTTCTGCTTTCGGTCGCTGGGGTGCAAATAAATTGGATTGCAATACAATATCTGGAAAATCACCGAGAAATGTCTATGTAACCAAAATGTAGAAGCATAAATTAGACTTATCTTAGGAAAAAATATAGACCCCAAATCCAATTTGTTGCCGCGTAGAATTATTTATTAGATTCATTTTAAATAAAGAAACGTGAAACTTAAAGCGAATTTGCAACAAATAATAATTCTGCTCTACCTTAATGACGGGGGTGCGGCATGTGGAGTGACGTCACGCGCGGGACACAAACAGCCCTAATTAATAATCATGAGCGGATGACGTCACTGATGTGGACCACGCCACCCACCCCCTCATTAATAATCAAGAGTGGATGATGTCATTCCACATGGAGTTCCCCCCCCTGATCAATAATCATGAGCGGATTCCGTCACTCCACATGGAGCTCCCCCCCTTCATCAATGATCATGGAATGATGATGTCATTCATGTGGACCCTGGCCCCACCCCCTCATTAATAATCATGAGCGGGTCTTTATTTTCGATTGAATATTGCAGATTAACTGCAATACACCCGTCCTTGGACGGGCTATAGGCTACTTTTATAATAATTTAGAAGCAAAAATTAGACTTACCTTTTGTTTCAAGTGCTGAAGAAATAAATAAAGACACCAAATACACTTTGTTGCTGCGTAGAAATATTGATTTGATTACATTTCAATAAAGAAACGTCAAATTTAAAGTTAATTTGCGTAAAACAAATTATTTCCAATCAACCTGCGGGAATGTAAAAATCCACCCGCTCATGATTATGAATGAGGGGGGGGTGTCTCTTTTGCAGTGACGTCACGTACGGATGTAGCACTGCTGCGTATATTTATTTTTTACTTTCTGTAAAGAAACGTCATATTTGAAGCAACTTTGCGAAAAAACTATCTTTCCACTCGGCCTTCCGCGTGAGTGTAAAAATCCACCCGCTCATGATTATTTTATTATTAATGACGGGGGAGGGGGTATGTGGAGTGACGTCACGTGCATTACACACATTTCTGGGCTATTATAGTAGTAATGCCATCAGCGGGAATTGTAACGTCCACTGTGAAGCGTCACTTTCATGTAAATTGCATCATCAGAATCGCTGATTTAGATCTCTGTATCGCGAGAAGAAAGCTCAAAGTGGTCCATGGGCGACCGGGATTTTGCTTTGGATGGCCATTGGACTTTGGAACTCTCTGTCAAAGTTGGTCAGGGAGTCTAGTTCAGTTTGGGCCTTCAGGTCCCCCCTAAAAATATTTATCTTTTAAGAAAGCATCTCGAATTTTAACTTAGCCACTTCTTACCCCCCCCCCCCCCCCCCATTGTAAGGCACCTTGATGTTTTATGCATGGGGTCAGTAAAAGAGAAGAAGCAGAAAGAGAAGTGTTGTGAGCTGCGGTCCTGAGTGAATGTGTAGTGAGCGTGTAGCTCGGTGAGTGAGCGTGTGGGTGATTTGCCACAGTGTAATGGTTAGCACACTGGATTTGCGATGATCCTAAGGTCACCAGTTTGTTTCTATGGCAGTTGAAACAACGGTGCAAGTCTCTCGAATTCCCCCCCTCCACTTGTGTAAGAACTCATCATTCATTCGTCGGAAATGTAAAAAAACAATTCAGGACCTGACTGTGACTCAGTGTGGATTTCCTGGACTAAGTCTATTTTATTATTATAAAGAATTAAAGGGGCTGTTTGACACGACTAGAGAGCTGGCTTGCACTGCAGGGAACTTAATATTCAACTTGGATTCCGCAACCCTCAATGGCCATTTTAAGTTAAATTTGTGCATGTAAGACTCGCACAAACAACCATACCCAGAAACCCATAGACCCCAACAGAGACCCATACATTCCTACAGACACTCAGACTCACACAGAGACCCCATACTCACAGAGACCCATAGCCTCACACAGAGATCCATACACTCAAAGGCCCAAAAACTCACACAGAAATCTATAGATTCGCACAGAGGTCAATAGAATTAGAATTTGAATATTTATTTATACTGGATGCATCTGATGAGCTATAACGATCTGTTTTCACAGACGTCCAATCTTGTGGGTCAGAAAATAACAAAAATACGATACAAAAACATCACAGGAAAGGTAAACAAATTGTTTCGAAATATACAAATTAAACTGAACTCTTTTTATCTTACCATAGACTCATACAAACATGTTGGACTCGCACAGAGACCTTAACCACTAAACCTCGAACAATTAAAACCCTCTAAACCCCTAACTATCTAAATCCATAACCATCTAAACCGCTAACCCTCTCAACCCATTTACCCTTACAACCCTAATCTTTAAACCCCTCGCCCTCTAAAAGCTTAAACTCTAAACCACCAAAACACTAACCATCTCAACCCCTAACCCTCTAAATTCCTATACCCCTAACCCTCAACCCCTTTACCCTTAAAACCCTAACCCACCAAAACCCTCACTCTCTAAACCCCTTATTCTTTTAACCCTAACCGTCTAAGCCATAAAAACCAAAACTTCGAAACCCTCTGAATCCCTAACCCTCTAAACCTTGAAACCCTAACCTTCTAAAACCCTAAATCCTTAACATTCTAAATACCAACCAATCTAAACCACTACCCTCTAAAGAACTAACCCTCTAGACCCCTAACCCTCTGAACTCATAACCTCCTAAATCCTCAACCTCTAAAACCCTAACCCTCAAACCCCTAACGTTCTAAAACCCTAAATCTGTAACCTAATCCCAACACATTTAAACCCCAACCCTCTAAAGAACGAACCCTCTAGACACCTAACCCTTAAAACACCTATGCCCCTAAAATGCTAACCCTCTAAACACATAATCCACTACACCCGGAACCCTCTAAACCCATAAAGGTTTTTTTTGTTAGATTATGTAAATATAAACGTGTCGTTAAACCAACCACCACCTGAAACAGCCAATTAGTAAAATTTGTCACATCAACAAAAAGTGCCATTTAGTGTTGGAGACTAAACCAAAAAAAACCTTTATTATGGACAATATTAGTTGTGAAAGTCTACGTGTTAAACCCTCAACTCTCAAACCACTAAACCCGTAACACTGTAAATCACTAACCCTTGAAACCCCGATACCTCTAAACCCCTAAACACATACCCTTATAACCTCAACTACTAACCATCTAAACCATTCAACATCCAACAATCGAAACACAAAAACCTCTAAACACGTAACTCTCTAAACCCCTAACCCTCTAAAACCCATAAACCTCTAAACACGTAACTCTCTAAACCCTCTAAACTCAAAACGTTCTAAACTCTAACCCTCTAAACACCAAATCCTCTGAAGGACTTTCGCCTTAAGACCCCAACCGTCTAAACACCTCACCCTATAAAATGGCAACCCATAAACCCCCAACACTCTTAACTGCCTAAACCCTTAACCTTATAAACCCCAAACCGTCGAAACCCCTAAACCTGTAAAACCGTAACCCACTAAACCCCTCACCTTATAAACCCCTAATCCCCTAAACATCAAAACCTCTAAACCCATAACCTTCTAAAACTCTTCTGTGAACAGGTGTCTTTTATACAGGTAACAAGCCGAGATTAGGAGCACTCCCTTTAAGAGTGTGCTCCTAATCTCAGCTCGTTACCTGTATAAAAGACACCTGGGAGCCAGAAATATTTCTGATTGAGAGGGGGTCAAATACTTATTTCCCTCATTAAAATGCAAATCAAGTTATAACATTTTTGACGTGCGTTTTTCTGGATTTTGTTGTTATTCTGTCTTTCACTGTTCAAATAAACCTACCATTAAAATTATAGACTGATCATTTCTTTGTCAGTGGGCAAACGTACAAAATCAGCAGGGGATCAAATACTTTTCTCCCTCACTGTAAACCCAAAACCCTATAAACTCCTAACCCTCTAAACCCCTTTACCCTCTAAACTCCTTTACTCTTAAACCCCTTTACCCTGAAAACCCTAACCCTCTAAAACCCTGTACCCCAAATAGACTTATCCTCTAAACACCTAACCCTCTAAACCCCAACCCTCTAAACCCCTAACTCTCGAATCCCCTCAACCCCTAAACCCTATAACCCTCGAAATCCCTAAACCTCTAAACCCCTTATCCCTGAAATAACCCAAAACCTCTAAACCCTTAACTTTATAAATCCCTAACCCTCTAAACCCCTAACCCTTTGTGTGGAATGTGGTGGGGGTGGGATCATGGGGTGGGTGGGTGCAATGTGTGTGTGGTGTGCGTTGGGTGGTGGGTATCACAGGGGGGTGAATGGGTGCAGGGTGTGTGTGGTGGGTATGGTGATAGTGGTTGTGGTTCACAACGATCCGTGACCACCACCACCACCTCTACTGTGTGGTGGACCGGCCACCACACAGCAGCATGCGTCGGAGGAGTGAACGGATGGTTCTCCCTATGCGGGCCAGACTCCCTCGCTTCCTCTTCTCCTCCTGCATCACCATCACCTGATCCTCTTTCCTTGTCATCTCCTTCTCCACCAATGTCTCCTCCACCTGCACCACCATCTCCTCCTCCTGCTCCTTCGTCCATACCTCCTCTGTCTCCCCCCTCATCTCTTCTTCCTGCACCACCAGCTCCTCCACCAGGGTCTCCTCCTCCTGCACCACCAGCTCCTCCACCAGGGTCTCCTCCTCCTGCACCACCAGCTCCTCCACCAGGGTCTCTTCCTCCTGCACAAACAGCTCCTCCACCAGGGTCTCCTCCTCCTGCACCACCAGCTCCTCCACCAGGGTCTCCTCCTCCTGCACCACCAGCTCCTCCACCAGGGTCTCCTCCTCCTGCACCACCAGCTCTTCCACCAGGGTCTCCTCCTCCTGCACCAACAGCTCCTCCACCAGGGTCTCCTCCTCCTGCACCACCAGCTCCTCCACCAGGGTCTCCTCCTCCTGCACCAACAGCTCCTCCACCAGAGTCTCCTCTTCCTCCACAACAACCGTCAGCCATTTAGAGGCCTGGGTGAGCGCGGAGGATGGGGGCAGCGCCGGCTCCGCTCTGTAAAGAGATGCGCACGACACCGTTCCAACTTCCTGCTACAGCAGAGATCGCACTCCCCCCCCCCCCCCCCCCACCATCGTGCAGGAGATAGATTAACCAGGTTAATAACGATGCTGCAGTAACGCAGCATACCTTTGCCCATCGTGGGTCTGGTTACAAAATGGGCATTAGTCTTGCGATATCACACTGGATGAAAGGCTACATGGCAAAGATATGGCTGCTTCATTATTTGTCTTCACCCAGAAACCAATTATAAAAATACATCCGTATATAACCGAATGTACACGTGGGGTTTGAACTGTACATGTGTTCGTTTGCAGGCGGCAGGGCTGGAACTCACAGAGGGACCTGGGTTTGATGCCCAAACTTGGGCCACTTTCTCCGTGTGGAATGTGGAGTGTGTTCTACCCCCCCCCCCCCCCCGTTTTATCCTGCATTGGTTTCCAAAATCAGAATAAATTATTTAGACTGGATGAAGAGGAATCCGATAAGCTATGAAGCTCTTCTTTCACAGATATGCAGTTGAGGCACAGGGTCAGCAAGTTACAACAACAAACAAAAGAAAATGAGTGCAAAGTGTAAAAATGTAAGCAAGTCACAAAATAACTGAGCATATAAGCACAAAGTACGTAAAATCCTGCCAGTTTTTCAACACTAAATACAAATTTATGGGTTGTTACGGGAAGAAAGGCGGACAAACACAAGGGTGTCTGGACCCACACACGGGTGTCTACATCCACGTCCGCATCGGTTAACCCTGGGGGGGCATGGGGGCGTTGTGATCCCCCATAGCCCCACCCCTCGGAGAGGATTCTTATAAAAGGCGGGGAGCCAGAGGGCTCGAGGCCAGTGTGTTAGACGCTTACCAGAGAAGACTGAAGACCGGCAGAATAGGCCCTGGAACTCCCCTGGCTCGCTGTCCTTGTCAGGGCCGAGCAGGGCAAGTGGCGCGGCCCCAAGAGCTCCAGGACCGCTGCTCTTGTAAGAGCACGGCCTGGTTAGCTGGGTGCCGGGATCCGTGCTTGACCAGGGCCGGATCAGATAGCCTCCCCTAGCACTCATAGCGGAGGACTGGGAATAGGAGAAGTCAGGGGATAGTGCTAGGGGTGTTTCCCATTGAGTACGGGTCAAGGGGCCATTACCCCTTCAAGTATTGTTACCGCCTTTTGGTTAAATAAAAGAGTGTGCCTCAACTACGTCGTCTGTCTCCCTGAGAACTCACTACACTTGTATAAGTGTAGTGTATCGTGTAGTGTATCGTGTCGTGTATAGTGTAGTGTGTAGTGTAGTGTGTAGGTTAAACGTTGAGTTTTATAAGGGCACCACGGGGTGACCAGCCCCTCCCCACCCAGCCCCACCCCTCCCACCCCCCACCCAGCCCCACCCTCCCCACCCAGCCCCTCCCCACCATCCCCTCCTCCCCCAGCCCCTCCCCACCCTCCCCTCTCTACCCAGCCCCACCCCTCTCACCTCCACCCTCCCCTCCCCATGCACGACAGACAATCCCTGGTGGGCAGTGTGGAACCTGTTGTTCCTACCGGTATAAAATTGGGAAATATCTGAACCGGTCCTGGGCCTCCCCTTGATCGACTCAACCTCAAATGAGTACCTGATACAGTGGGTACACATCACCACGAGGGAGACAAATGCGTGGTGTTGGCTACCCACTCCCCTGTGTACTGTGCCCGTTCTCTGTAGGTCCTCACTAACACCACTTGCCTCAAAAATTTGTTAAGGCTATGAGGGGGGATCTTTGTCTTTGTACAGTGGCATTGGCTACGTATAAACTGATACTTTGAATGGAGTTTATAATACAGCATGGCCTACGTGTAACGCATCATATACCGTGTAGACAGCACCATGAAAGTGTGTGCCGTATAATACAGAGTATGTGTAAAGGAGCATAGCCTGTGCACGTACTGCAGAGTTACTTTGAACTGAAACGTGGCATGGCCGTTATGTGTAGAACAGCATTTCTTGTGTATATGTAGTGGGTTCCCACGGAGACTGGAGACGTAGCTTAGAGGCAACACGGTTTATTTAAATCTTATAACAGAAGCCCCTTTTACTCCCACTACTTTGGGAGGTATGGCCTCCGGGCTAACGTGCCCTATCACTGGGGCTACGGGCTCTGAGTCCTCCGACTAAGGGTGGCCTAGGGGAGGCTATGCTGACCCGACCCAGCCAAGGTGCGGGTCTCAACCACTGGTCCGTGCTCGGCCCCGCCCCTTAAAAGGACGTCGGGTCCCAGGGTCCCAGGGTCCTAGCCTAGCCGGTCTTCAGTCTTCGTCTTCAGAGCACTGCCTCGGGCCGTCCTGGGGTCCGTCTTTTATACCCACCTCGGGGACTCTCCACCCCCGGTACCGCCCCCTTTCTGGAACCTTCCAGGTGGCTTTGGAATAACCCCCCAACCCCTCACCTGTGGTCGGGGGGGGGGAACTCGGCCTCTCAACGGTCCCGGTTCTCTCTCTAACTCACGGTGGCACCCCCTGCAGACTCGTGCCCGCAACTACAGGTGGTGTGTGCTTTGCATTTCCGACGCTACATATACAGCAAGAAATACTCTACATAGAGAGAGCATGGCATCTGTGTGTGTGTACTGCATGACACACGGTGTACGGTGTGTAATCCACAGTGATGGGCTGCTGCTGCTGCACCTGTTGACGTTGATGTCGGGGCAGGCAGAGTCCTCGCTCCGGGTCCCGTGGCGTTGCTCCGGGGGAACGTGCAGAAGAAGGCGTTGGCCAGGAGGCAGGCGGCCTGCTCCTGAGACATCGTCAGCATCAAGCCGGTGTCCCGGCGGAGCAGCGGCAGGGGCTGGGGACACGTGCGGTGCACAGGGCGCAGCGACGTCACACGCGGCAACGGGTGGCACGGGGTTGCAGAGGAGCAACGGCGCAATGGTAACACCGATGCAGAGCACTGAGCCTGCAGCACTGGGATGCTGGGGTCTGGATCAAGGAGTTCTGAAATGCACGTAAACCAGATGATTGTTGTACACGTGAGGTTAATGCTGCAGCCCTGCAATTACTTGCTCATGCAACTGCTGGTGAAAGAACCTCCACTAGAGGGAGGTCTAGAGTGCCGATCCGGTGGGTATGTTTTGGCCAACTTTTCCACACTGACCATTCGTCTTGAAAGAGGTGGGAGTACTCGCCATTTAGCCCACTGCACGCGACCCACCGATGGACTGTGGGTGGACAAAACAGGGAATTGTAAGAATCCTGGTCAATGTTTTCAAGGCCAGGCTGGGAGATCGAACCGCGACATTTGAAGTCAATCGTGACAACCATCCCACAGTCATGGCAGCAGCCCTTTTGCAGAAATAAAATAAAATATTGGAGAGGGCTTCACACAAGAAACAAGAAGATTTAGTGGTTTGGATGTGGCTCTCCAATGAGTACAGATAGGGTACCACAAGTAGCGGTGCATACTCGGGCACAAAGAAATAGAAGCAGAGACAAAGAATGAGATAGATCGATGCAATAAAGAATTGGCAGTGGTGCACCAAGCACGACCCCTTGCTGAGCGCTGCAGCAGCAGCCCCCCCCCCACCCCCGGACCCCTCCCCCACCCTCCACTTCTCACCCTGACGCAACACAACCCGTGGGTAGGCGATGCCCTCTGGTGGACAAGGCGCGGTACAGGCGGCAGCACGAGACGCCAGCAGCGTTGCGCTGCCAGGGTTACTCACCCGAACACCTCCGTACACTTACACACACCTACACACACCTCTATACACCTCTATACACTCACACACACCTACACACTTACAAAGACAAAGATCCCCCGTATAGCCTTAACAGACTGTAGAGGCAAGTGTTGTTAGCGAGCACCTATGAAGGCCGGAACGGTACACGAGGGGGTGGGTGGCCAGCACCACGCCCGACCGCCTTTGTCTCCCCAGTGGCGATGTTTACACACCGCACCAGGTACTCATTTAAGGCTGAGTCGACCTAGGGGAGGCCCAGGACCGGTTCAGATAATCGTCACTGGTGTTAGCCGTGAGTGGGAATCGAACCCGGGTCGCCAGGTTCATAGCGCAGCGCGCTAACTGCTACACTACCGCTCCCCACACACCTACACACACACACCTCTACACACTTACACACCTACACACACACACACCTATACAACAACAACCGCCATTCGCCACTAAGTGGCGGTGACGTCACCACGACGCTTGTGCCAGGCCAAGTGCACCTTGAGGCCACGTGAAGTGTCGAACGCCCGCTGGCAGGAGGTCACGGGGCAGACCCAGCAGGTGCCACGGGTCGACTGACCGAGATGACCGAGATGACTGGCTGATGCACCACCTGTGGCCCCCTACCGTACCAACTTGCTGTGCTTTAGCCACCCGGCGCTCCGCTCGTTGTTGTGAGCGTCGCTCCTCCACCCTCCGTTGTTGTTGGAGGGCGACTGCCTCCAACTGCCCAGTAGCGTCCTTCACGAGCCTCCTCCACTGAGGCCGATCTTGACACTGCTGGTACCAGTCATCGGCAAGTCCACTCAGCTCCACGTCCTCCTGTACCACATCACTCCATCTCTTCTCTAGCCCGCGCCGCGCCCGTTTAGCCCCCTTGATTTTAGGCATGCAGTAGCTGGGCATGCGTGCTACATGACCCAGCCAACGCAGCCTTGCCTGCCGGAGGAGCTCACCGATGGGACTTTGCCCAGATCTTTCAAGGATTTGTGAGCTCCTCACACAATCCAGCCTGGTTAAACCCAGGATGGATCGTAGGCAGGCCAGCCTAAATGTTTCCAACCGACGAAGTTGCTCCATTAGGGGGGTCCACGTTTCGCAAGCGTAGAGAAGGGAGGGAATGACCGTGGCCGAGAAGACCTGAAGCTTCGTGCGGAGGTAGCTTCCACACAGCGTTACGCAACCGATGAAAAGATAATGCCGCTCGACTGATTCGGAGTGAGACCTCTGCTGATAAACTGGAGCCGGTCATAAGCACACTGCCCAGGTATGGGAAACTCTCCACTCTCTCCACAACTGCCCCATCACCGATTGGGAGTTGTGGGGGTGGAGTGTCTGATGGTACAAAATACCCAGGCAGGTGCTTAGTTTTGGTGGGGCTGATGGTAAGACCCCACCTCTTAGTGGCACGCTCCAGTTTCAGCAGCAGCGTCTCCAACTCCTCTTCTGAATGAGCAGCTATTACCAAATCATCGGCATACATAACGTGGTCGATCAGCCTCCCATTATATCTGTACCAAATGGAAATTCCCCCGGTACAGCTATTGAAGGCTTCACGAACTACGCAGTCGAAATAGATGTTAAATAATGTGGGAGCCTGAGGACATCCCTGTCGCACCACAAGGTGTACAGGGGAAGGCTCTGATTCCCGGCCACGTAGTTTTACCCGGGCCCGCTCACCATCATGAAGGTCCTTAATGATCGTGAGCAGAGGGTCAGGGACTCCGAAAGCACGAAGAACAACCCAGAGCCCAGGCCTACTGATGGTATCATAGGCCTTGACCAGGTCAATAAAGCAGAGATGAAGGTCTTGTTGGAATTCCTTACACCTCTGCTGTAGCAGACGGACAGAAAATATGGCATCTGTACAGGACCGCCCTTTCCTGAAACCGCATTGGGGTTCTGCAAGCCTCTCCTCAGCGTGCCTAGCAAGGCGATGTTGAATAATCCTTGCCAGGACCTTTCCCGGCACACTTAGGAGTGAGATGCCTCTGTAGTTGTTACAGTCTGTGCGGTTCCCCTTCTTAAAGAGGGGGACCACCAGGGCATCCTTCCAATCCTGCGGTACCCGTCCAGCGGTCCAGACTGTTGTTATGATGTCATATAGGGCAGTCTGTGCACAAGCGCCACCCTCCCTCAGCATTTCGCTTGGGAGATCATCTCTGCCCAGTGCCTTTCCTGGTCTCAGACTCCGG